GGGTGACATAGGACTCAGGGCATCAGATGGGTCAGGAGGCTCAGCTGGGAGCTCAAGAACAGTACAGACCTGAGGAGCCTCAGTGGGAAAGAAGCGCTGAAGTGAGAAGTTCCGGCATGTTTCAGGGACAAGGCTGAGTGCACCAAGGAAGCGCTCCCACCCCGGTGTAGCCTGCAGCACTGGGCAGGCTGTGGGCCTCCCCTCTGCCCATCCTCTCACGGCTCCTGCCTCCTGGGACACGGCTCCTGCCCTAACGTGCATCCCTCGTCTCACTCCACACAAAAGGGCCTCTAGGGTCCCTCTCCTGCACTGCATGGAGGGTAGGCCACGTTCCCACAGACCACCCAGCAACGGGGTCCTGTGGAGGTGGGGTTGGGAGTATCACACGACCCTCATGCCTGGGGTCTGACTCTGGGGGTGACAGATTAGCCTGGAGGCCACTGGTGCCCTCTGTCCCTGAGGGAAACCTGCACCCTTGTGGCTGCCACATCCCTCCTGATTCTTCCAGCTGAGAATCCTTGAAATCCCTGGGAGGACGCATCCCCCACTGGGAAAGTCCCGTGTGGAAGGTTCCACAGCAGCCCAGCCAAGGCCCTCGGACACAGATCCTGAGTGACAGAACCTTTAGAGACAGAGGCACACGGCCATGTCCCCAGCGCCCACACAGGGCAGGGGCATCCGGACCCTGAGTGCGCAGCTCCTGCGCCTGAACCCAGCTCCTCCCCGATGACGTGGGCGCTGGACCTTATCAAAGGTCATGAAATTTTACCCTTATCTATCTGTTCTTCTAAGAGTTGAATACATTTTTCAATTACATTTTGGCATTTGATCCACTTTGAGTTAATTCTGGTATGGGCTGGGGAAGCAGGGCACTGTCACCACACAGGGGCTGGGAGTGAGACACCGACAGTGTCCAGTCACTGATTACATTTACTTAGGGGGACATATTCTTATTTAAGGAAAGATCTAAAAGTATATGAATTTGAGCATAAATAGGAAAAAAGCATAAAGCAAAAAGAGCAAAAAGTCTCAAAGAGAGAGAGACAGAGAGAGAGAGCGCATCAGTGGCTACCAAGGGCTGGGGCAAGGGAAAGTGAGGAGTTATTGATCAATAGTATAAAATTTCTATGTGAGATATGAAAATTTTCTGGAAAAATATAGTGGTGAGGATGTAGAATATTGTGAATGTAATTAATGGCATTTAATTGTACACTTAACATGATTAATGTTGCATATTTTCTTATACATTTGACCACATCTATAAAGCACTTGGAGAGGGAAAGCCCACCATGTAAAATATACCCATCCTAATCAGATAGTCCTCATTATACCCATGTGCAGGCCCTCATGACCTTCTGTACAGAAATAACCAAGGATTTAAGGACATGAGACTTCCCAGCCAATTGCAGATGCACAACATAAATTATCTGCAAAGAGACTGAGAGTTAAGCTGGGGGCACAGACCTCAGCACCGCCAGGATACACATCCTTCTCATAGATCTGACTTTATCTGACCCAGCCCCCTGTCCAGATCTTGCTGTGGGTTGGGACAAGGGAAATCATGAAGCCTGTCCCCGGGGCACTCTGTGTGAGCACAGGAGACCCCCATACTAGGTCTCCACACACAGCTCTGACCACAAGGCCTTGTGAGGGGGACTGTAGCACAGGCTCAGCGATCACACCAGAGAATCAGCTACAGAGAGGGACACGGAGCTGGAGGCGCTGATGGATGACACGGAGTAGGGTCCCTGCAGTTCACAGCTCACCCTGGCATAGGTGCCCCCTCCCCCTGACCCAGGCACCCCGACACAGCTCCCTCCTGGGGCCTCCTCCTTGGTGACACATCAGCATCCCTCACTCAAGCTGTCCAGAGAGAGCAGCACCTTGGACAGCACCAACCCCAGCTTCCCCCTTCCTCCCTCACAGGGCTCAGGACTCAGAACAAATGGCAGAGGCCAGTAAGTCCAGAGACGGTAACAGGGCAAAGATCCAGGGGCAGCTGCCTGGAACGGGAGCAGGTGAAGCCACAGGGAGAAGATGGTGCTGGAAGGAAAACCCAGGAATGGGCAGGAGAGGAGAGGAAGACACAGACTCTGTTAGGTTGTAGTCCAGGGTGGGACTGTGAGTGTGAAGCTATCTAAGCAGGTGAGGCCACGTCCCATGAACAAGGAGCTCGCACCTCCCCTGATGCAGGGATACCGAGAGTGTGTGGTGCTGCATCCCCAGAGTCGGGGTCCCCTGTTCTGGTCCCCAGGGAGTGAGAAGTGAGGTTGTCTTGTCCCTGCTCCTCTCTGTTCCTCTGACATTTACCTTCCTCCTCGTGCCCCTCCATCTCCAATATGATTTGGATCTATATCCCCGCCCAAATCTCGCGTCAAATTGTAAACCCCAGTGTTGGAGGTGGGGCCTGGTGGGAAGTGATTCGATTATGTGACTAGATTTTCTGCCTTTTTTTGAGACGCAGTCTTGCTCTGTCACCCAGCCTAAAGTGCAGTGGCAGGATCTCGGCTCACTACAACCTCCACATCCCAGGTTCAAGCAATTCTGCCTCAGCCTCCTGAGCAGCTGGGACTACAGGCACTCCCCACCACAACCAGCTAATTTTTAATTTTATTTCTAGTAGAGATGGGGTTTCACCATATTGGCCAGGCTGGTCTCGAACTCCTGACCTCATGATCCACCTGCCTCACCCTCCCAAAGTGCTGGGATTAAAGGCATGAGCCACTGCGCCCAATGGATTTTCTGCTTTGATGCTGTTTCTGTGACAGCGGTCTTGCGTGATCTGGTTGTTTAAAAATGGGAGCGCCTCTCCCCCCTCTCTCTTACTCATGCTCTGCCATGAAGATGTGCCAGTTTCCCCTTCACCCTCCAGAATGACTGTAAGTTTCCTGAAGCATCCCCAGGAGCAGAAGCCGCTATGCTTCCTGTACAACTGCAGAACGATGAGCGAATTAAATCTCTTTTCTTTATAAATTACCCAGTCTCAGGTATTTCTTTACAGCAATGCAAAGACAGACTAATACGTTCTTCTACTCCCAGACCCCTGCCCAGCACTCAGACCCAGACATCACTGCTCCCTACCCCCACTGGGGGCCTGCACAGTGCAGCCTCCTGCAGACAAAAACAAACTCACAAAAGGCGACAAAAATCTGCATTTGGGGGCATCTCATTGAGAAAGAGGGGGGACAGTATACTTGGAGCCACAGAGACTGGGGCTCACCGAGCTGGAACCCGGTGGCACTTTGGCATAACGTGCGGGACCCGTGTTCAAGGCTGCCGTCCTCGCTTCCCTCCCTGTCCACCAGAGGGAGGCAGAGTTCTTCCCAGCCTGAAACCTCCCAGGGGCTGCTGACCTCCCTCATCTGGGCCCATAGCCCAGCAGGGTCCACTCTCACCCAGGTCAGCTTGGCCCACATTCTCCTCGCCCTCCAAGCTCCACACAGGGACCCTGTCAGCTCCTCCCTGCCCAGCGGCCGCCGACCTTCGAAGGCAGCTCCTGCCCCTGACACCTCTCCTTCCCTGGGCTCAGCCAAAAGGGCATTTTCCAGGACAGCTCGGGCTCTCACAAGCTCCGACGCCCCCAGTGCTGTCACCTCACAGCCCTTCTCATTATCATTAACTCCTCAGTCCCACGAAGTTCACTGAGCGCCTGTCTCCCTGTTACAGAGAATCTCCGTGAGTGCAAGGGCCACGTCTATCCTGCTCTCTGTGGAATCCCAGGGCCCAGCCCGGTGCTTGACACGGAACAGATGCTCAATAAATACTAGTCAAATGTGTGGGAGATCTCTAACAAGAAGCATATCACCTCCGTGTTGCCCAGGGTCAGAGTCTGTTCCATGTGGACGCAGGGGCACTGGCGCCAGCACGGGAGGAGGCCAGCAAGTGCCCGCGGCTGCCCCAGAGACGGGTCCTGAACTCCGGAGCTTCAGGAGGAAAGGCAGAGCCCTGTGGGAATAGAACCTGGACCACCCTGACCCTGCAGCCTAATTAATCCAGGGTTCAGGGCCCGCTCACACCACGTGGACCCTTGGTCAGCATCCCTGGAGCAGCTCCTGACAAGGCTACAGGTCTCCGCTCGCCCTCCAGGGGGCGACATAGCATACAGACAACACTCAGGAAATGGATTCCCCTGGACAAGAACCTGGCTTTGCTAAGGAGGTGGAGATGGAGCCTGCTTTCCATCCCTTGCTCCAACGGACCCTTCTGATCTCTCCCACGTACCTGCTCTGTCCCTTTCTGGGTCCTGTGAGGACCCTGCTCTGCCAGGGGTCCCTGTGGAACTTCTGACTCCCTCCCAGTACCACCATGGGCGAGGGGGCGGGGTAACCACAGGACAGTCAGCCTCACAGAGGACAGAGACCACCCAGTATGGTCACGAAGAATATGGACAGGCCCTGAGGCACAGCTCAGCCAACAGACACGGAGAGGGTGAGTCCCCCTGGAGCCTTCCCCAAAGACAGCAGAGCCCAGAGCCTCCCACCTCCCTCCACCACTGTCCTCTCTTTCCAGGACACACAGGACACCTCCCCCTCCACATGCAGGAGCTGGGGCCTCCTGAGACCCCTGGGGCTGGGCCTCCATCCCTGGGTCAGAGGCCAGGCTGATGACACTGGAGACAGAGGGCTGGTCCCTCCCCAGCCACCACCCAGTGAGCCCTTCTCTATTCCCCAAAGCCACCTCTGTCACCTTCCTGCCAGGTGTCATCCCACCTTTCCAGAGCACTGGAGAGCATGGGGAGACTGGGGGCCCAGCTGGGTTTCTCTGTCATGGAGGAAAATAATCCCCCTGGTGTGACAGCCCAAGGACAGAACACAGCAGAGGTCAACACTGGGGAAGGCAGATTGTCCTCCCAGGGGATGGGGTCCATCCCTGCTATTCAAAGCTTTGTCTGGGAAACCGAAAATAGAAGGGAAAAAGGAGGAGGGACAAAAGAGGCAGAAATGAGAGGGGAGGGGACAGAGGATTCATGAATAGAGACCACACCCATGGCCACGTGATCCTAAGAAGTGCTCCTGCCCTAGAAGTAGACTCAGGGCAGAGGAAGGACGGACAGCAGACCAACAGTCACGGCAGCCCTGACAAGAGCGTTCCTGGAAACCGAGCTCTTCTCCATAGAGGACAGAGCAGGCAGCAGAGACCATGAGGCTCCCCTCAGCCCCTTCCCACAGATGGCGCATCCCCTGGCAGAGGCTCCTGCTCATAGGTGAGGGGAGGACAACCTGGAGGAGGGTGGGAGGAGGGAGCATAGAGACTGGCTGGGGTCTCCTGGGGAGGATGGGGTTCTGAAAGGGACAGAGGGCTCCTGTTGGAGCCTGAATAGGGAAGAGGACATCAGAGAGGGACAGGAATCACACCAGAAAAATCACATTGAGCTGGAATTGGAAAGGGGCAGGAAAACCTCAAGTGTTTGATTTCCCTAGTTAATCATTACTGGCCACTACATGTTTAAAAATCATAATAATTGCATCAGATGACACTTTAAATAAAAGCATAGCTGGGCGCAGTGGTGCATGCCTGTAGTCCCAGCTACTCGGAGGCTGAGGCGGGAGGATTCTCTTGAGTCCAGGAGTTCTGGGCTGTAGTGCGCTAGGCCAGTCAGGTGTCCGCACTAAGTTCAGCATCAACATGGTGACCTCCCGGGAGCGGGGGACCACCACATTGCCTAAGGAGGGGTGAACCGGCCCAGGCTGGAAACGGAGCAGGTCAGAACTCCCGTGCTGATCAGTAGTGGGATCGTGCCTGTGAACAGCCACTGCACTCCAGCCTGGGCAACATGGAGACCCTGTCTCTTTGGAAAAAAGAAAGAAAGAAAGAAAAAAGCATAATCCGGGCATACAACACTGTCCTCACCCGCCTACCACAGACACTGGCAAATAAACCCCAGGCCGTGCAGGGTCCTGGGAAGGCTCAAGAGCTCATCCACAGGATCTGCAGCCTGTCCCAGGCATTGGGGTGCAATCAAGATCACACAAGTTCCTGTCCTCACAGAGCTTACACTCTCCTGGGGAGGAAGACAGACACGCAAAGAGATCTAGAATGTGAGGTCAGGTGTTGACACGAGCCCTGGAAGGAACAGAGCCGGGAAAGGTCAGAAAGGGAAGACCCAGGGTCTCCAGAGGAGGCGTCAGGGAAGGGGTCTCCCAAGAATCCCCTGATGTGAGCAGGATCTGAGGGCGGTGGGGAGGGAGCCGTGCAGACCCCTGAGGAAAAGGATTCCACACAGGGAAATGCCAAGGTCAGAGGTGCTGAGGGTCACACTGCTGACCTTGGTCCAGTAGGACACACACACACACACACACACACCCCTAAGGTAGAGGGGTGAAGAGACCTGCTCAGGACCCAGGGCCCCATCCTTCCATCCCAGTGCACAGTCCTAATATTGACTGATGCTCTCTCCTGTCTCCCAGCCTCGCTTCTAACCTTCTGGAACCCGCCCACCAGTGCCCAGCTCACTATTGAATCCGTGCCATCCAATGCTGCAGAGGGGAAGGAGGTTCTTCTACTCACCCACAATCTGCCCCAGAATATTGCTGGCTTCAACTGGTACAAAGGGCAAAGCGTGGACGGCAACCGTCGAATTATAGGATATGTAATAGCAACTCAACTAACTACCCCAGGGCCCGCATACAGCGGCCGAGAGACAATATACCCCAATGCCTCCCTGCTGATCCAGAACGTCACCCTGAATGACACAGGATTCTACGCCCTGCAAGTCATAAAGGCGGATCTTGTGAATGAAGAAGCAGCTGGCCAGTTCCGTGTATACCGTGAGTATTTCCCCATGACCTCTGGGTGTTGCGGTCAGTCTGCTTCCCACACACGGGATTCTCAGGGCTGGGCTGTGCCTGTGTCCCCCTCTGCATTACATCCTGTGTTAGGGTTTGGGTATTTAGTGCAGGACACACACAGGGGAGATGAACTTCCACAGATCAGAATCCCCTTCCTGCATCCAGACCCTGCAGACACTCGCTGCAGAGGAAGGACAGTCTGATGGGGGGACTGAGCAGGGGGAGGTCCGCCTCAGCCAAGCACCCCATCGTCTCCCCATGGGCCTGACCCTGAGAAGACCCTGGAGAACTGGGTCAGGGCTGGCCTGACGGGCCCCCTGGGATCACAGAGAAGCCCAGCCCCAGGGCTCCTGACTCCAAGTGACCCAGGGGAGCCTGTGCCAGGGCTGTGTTGTGGCCTCCTGGGCACGGCCAACTGGGAGCAAAGACCTGCCAGCTATCCAAGGGCCATGGCTCCTGGAGCTGGATCCTGGATGCAGAGTCAGTTTCTGGCCAGAGCTGTCCCTGTCCCGTCTCATGTGGGCAAGGACAGAGCCTTGTCCTGCTTTACTCAATGTGGAGAGGACAGACAGACAAGGTTACTAGGGCATGAACCCACTGCCCTGAGGGACACAGGTGACTCCATGGGAAGTTCAGAGTCCCCAGGAGGAGGAACAGAGAGGAGAAGATGCTCCTGGCAGCCACCAGGGATCAGACCAGGGTCCTCTCTCTTGGAGGCAAATAAACATAAATGCTGTTCATTTGGGCAGCTCCTCTGTGCAGAAATGAGGTCAAGTAATTGGAAATATTTTGAGGTTAATTCACAAACAACCTCACAGCCAAATAGCACTTATCCTACTTACTGAAAGGAAATTGAGGGGCAGGGAGACAGTCACTAACAAGGGTCACACAGGCCATAGGTGGCAGATTAGAGACATGTGAGGCCCGTCTGCAGCCAGAGCCGCCTCCTCTCCTCCACCGGGGTTGGGGGGCTGTTTGTTATGAGGCATCTGCAGACCGATACCTGTCGCAGGTTTGCTTCCTTTCGTCTTGGGCATCCACAGCTCAGAGAGGGAGATTCTGGTCTGGAGAGTAAGAAGTAAATAAAGAATTAGTCAGTTTTACTCTAGAACGAAATCACCTTAACTGGCAAGGTCAATGCCAGGATTGTCCAGGCCTCTCCCTTAGATCCACAACCCCCTCACTGCATCTGAAATCCTATGTTTCTCAATGTGTCAGTATCATTCCCATAAGGGGATAAAGTAAAGGACTTCGCTTTCCCTCCCCACTCACACTCTGCACCAACACAGGCTCTCTCATGAAGAAATGAATGAATAGATGGATGGATGGATGAATGAATGAGGGAATGAATGAATGAATAAATGACCCACACCCTCTATAGAGACTGGATCCTGGATGCAGAATCCTAGGAGGTTCTGGCCACACCTGTTCCCTGTCCATCAGGGCCTGAGATCCATGTTCCATCCCTTTGACCAACCCCCTGTCCCAAAAGTCACCCTATCTCATATGACTCTGGGGTTCCTTGGCCATGGGAGTGTTTTCAAGGCTCCCTAGTCCTGGTGGGGACAGCCAAGGGACTCCTGGTCCCTGGGGTCTCTGAAGTCACTATACCCTGCACGGCTCACTGCCATGGGTGTTTCTGACTGTCTCCTGTTCCTCCACGTTCCTCATCTTCCTCCCTCCTCATTCCAGCTAGGATGCTCATCCCTGAACATCCTCCTCCACTCTTAGGTCTTCCCCAGACACTCCCTTGAACAAGGATGGCTGTCCTGTTTCCTTCCCATTCATGCTGTGGCCTGGCCCACCTCCAAAGCAATAGGAAAAGCACAGAAATCAGCCCAGAGCAGCCACCCCTGCCAGGTTCTACCAAAAGCCAATGTCAACAGGTCACCAGGAGAATGAGCTTCCACTGTGTCCCTGCTGAGGGCTCTTTACCTCCATGAGACCAACGCCTGGAACAGGCCACAGGACAGGGACGAGCGACTCCTCCATCCGCCCTCTACACTGACTCACCAGGGGGTCAGAGACAGAAGGACAGGTCTGCAGTCCCCAAAGCCCACATGCTCATTTCACCCATTTCACTACCTACTCCATCTTCATCCTGGTGTGGGACTCACGTCCTCCAGTGGATCCCGGGACCTCCCCCAGGTGGAGCTGGCCAGGCAGGTGCTGTCTGATGGGTTTGCTGCCCATTTCGCATACACCTGTGTCCCCATGATGATGCTACTGTCTAAGGGTCCCTGGGACTGAGAAGTGCACCAGTCACTGGCGTCTCCCTCAGACTCTGCCCAGTTATACAAACTTAAACTCTAGTTGTGTTTTCTGAGGTTGAGAGGAGAGGAAGAGAGCATTTCACACGCCTGTTTTGGGCTCCTCCCCTATTTGCCTAACTCTGCACAGGAATTAGGGGCAGGGAGCGCTTTCTAAATTCACTAACATAACACAGACCGCTTCTGCTAATTTGGCATCATTCCTCTATTTATGCAATTGACACACCTAAGACTTCCTCTCTGACCGGTTCTGTTCTTCTGACAGGACTCACACCGCTCTCTCTACTCAGGGAGCCACTGATTTCAAACCTTCAGCATTTTCCTTTGAGCATGATGTGATCCCACTGGAACTCAGTGCAGACCCAAACCTTAGTATACGATCAAGAAAAGAACTACTTCCG